CTAGTAGCTTCTCGCTCCTAGTAGCGATGCCCTTTGCTCCTAGTAGCTTCTTGTTACTAGTAGTACCATCAGGAGCTACTAGTAGCGTCCAGGTGTACAAAAAGAGGAGAGGTCTCCATCATGGAGCGGCGTGACTCGTCGGTCGTGACTCTGATTCGCTAGAAGGCAGGATGTCCGCATGCTTGGGTATGTCGCCGCCTGCGAATCGCCGTTCATCTTTACCTTGCCAAGCACTCGGAGCATGTTCCAAGGAAAGTGTTTCTTGATGTTTCTTGAACATTCTTGATAGATCATGATTCATGATAGATTAGATCCTACTATACAGCCTGAGAGGTGAAGACTTCACAGAAGTCTTCCCAAAAGCAAGTGTCAGCAAAGCAGTTTCTGAGTCCCCGACGACACACCCTCCGACGAGCACGGAACAAGTGGTCAAAAGTAACACGACGCCTCGGACACGGCGGAAAGAACACCAAGTGTGCAAGCTGGTTGGGACATGGCCATGGGCCATGGGTCAAAACCAAAAGGCCTGGTTCATCCTCAAAGAAGCGCCAGAAATAATAGTGAGAACAATCTAGACTCTAGACAATGATCACAAATGTCAACCTCCCATGGTTTTGGAGCTTCGTTTTGGCCTACAGCTATTTGGATTGGGCCATAAAGGGAAGTTTGCAAGATGCGAGGCTTGTTGGCTCATGATTTCCACAGGAAGGGAGAGCTCATCCATCATCATCCAAATTAACCCCAACCGAACCGACACAATCTCACCCACAACACAAATGTTCTTGCTAGCAAGCAGCACTGTGTGGTCCAGAGGTCCCCTCTGGCCGGCCAAAGCTAACAGCTGTGAGCCAGGCAAATCATCAAGCTCAGGAATTCCTTCTTAAAACAGGCAACGGCAACAGCTTGCCAAATAGGCGGTTTCATGGGTCTTTCCAGCTTCAATGTTTCTTCAACTGATAATTGTCATCCCGATCACAATCCAAGCTCTCACCAGTCAGCTGATTCTTTGCAAGAGCATGGGAGAAAATCCCTACTCCCTCACCAGCAATCTCTCGCCACCGAACAAAGGCCTTGATATATCTCGATGATATGAGTTGGTGTGTACATAGAGGTAGAGGACGCTACTAGGAACAAAGGGCATCGCTACTAGGAAGCAAGGACGCTACTAGGGGCTCCTGGCCTTACTACTAGTAACAAAAAGCTACTAGGAACAAGAATTAGAACTTGTTTGTTCGTTCCAAGTTGGTAGAACATAGTTGGATGTCCCGTAGTATTGTAGGACATAGGCGTTTGGCATATGGACACTAGCGGCTCGCACAATGTGAGCTGCTCCATTTTTCCTCTTGCTCAGCCAGCCTGGCGCCAGGTCTCTTTCTTCACCTCAGAAACTATACATCATGGCAACACACGCCTTTGTTCCGACGAGCCAAGCGCTTTGGCGGAAAGTAAGTCGCACAAGGGTGTTTTGACAGCATCCCCGTCAACTAACCCATCAGGTCTGCAATACAATTCTCCTGTTGGCAGTGCTGTCTTCCTTTCCTGAGCATATTCATACAGAAGTGAAAGTCTCAAGCCCTCACCAACAAGGCTTCTATTTGGTTGGAGGCCATTGCTATTAAGTTGGAGGCTATTGCTATTAGGTTAGTTCCTTAAAGTTTTTTTCTTCCTTCTCTGTGAAAGTTTCATCGTCTGCTTCTCTGCCCGCCTGCTGGGTGCCCATGACCGCGGCTCGCGCGGACTCGGAGATTAGTGACTCTAGGAGAAGAGAAACAAGTGGTTTGACATGGGGGACCTATTTGACATATTTCACAGAATGTTTCAACAGCATAGTTTGCGCAGTCTTGATTCAAGAGTCTTGACATGTCTTGACCGTCTGCCACCCAACCGAATGTGTGTCGTGGCCCATCGGTGCAGCTTCCTTGGCAACCGGGCGGGCCGTGTCACGCGCCACAGGATGTCCGCCGCAAAGAAGCCCACACCCACAGCCAACTGGGCAACGTCACGTTGACGTCCAGAGCAATGCTTACGAACCAGCAAGCAAAAATGAATGTGCTGACAGGACCAAAAGAACAGCTAGAAATGCAGAGTAAACAGAAGCTGCACTGGATCGCTCTTGATTGAATTGCACGTGACATCGATTGTGATCCATCCAATCCAAGCAACCTCATCGTGAAATAAAACAACGAAGCAAAACGCAAATCAGTGTGCTCAGGTTTAGAGCTTCCAGTATGCACATGCCGGAGGTGCAGAAACAATGACCATCACGGTGAAGTAACCCAGCCGCATAAAGTCTTCCTTCCGCATTCGTTTGTAAGCCACACAAACACAGGGAAGGGACAAAGAACATCAAATAGCTACTCGATAACTGTGAAATGCCACTTGAAATAACTCCCAGTGACAACCTTTCAACCTTTATCAGTTCTCTCATGCTCTTGGAATATGTTGCATGGCCTTTGAATCAAACAACGTGCCTGCCTCCTCTCCTTCCCAACCTCGCACATGTCGCTCCTTGAATTCGACCTCGCAGGTCTCCCCCGAGTAGGGCGCTTTGCAGAAGCAGACGCCGCTTGCACAAAGGCCTCCAAAAAGGGGCCGGTCATGGGTCCACAACGGCTCCCAGCCCCCCTGTCCTTTCAATTTGAAGCGGATGATGTTTCACCAATCAAAACTGTCAGGGACCACCCAGCTATTTTTTGTTCCTAGGACGCTACTAGTAGCAAGGAGGCCATCGCAAGTAGGTTCGAGGCCATCGCTACTAGGAACAAGAAGCTACTAGTAGCTCCTATAATTACTGCAATGTATAATAATTGCAACTATATATTCGTTTCACACTCAAAGGAAACTTCATCTTGCCTCGATCAGCCGCGCAGCCCGGTGTGCAGCTTCCATCACCCAAAACACTCCTAGAAAAGACATCGGGTCTTGTCATTGATAGTCTTTTCCTGATGTTGCAAATGTCTTCCAAAGATCCTGCCCCCTCAGTCCTCGGCATAGAGGGTGCCACAAGCTCTTTCCTGCGCAAAAACGACCCAGGCCACTGCCTTGCAAATACCACCCTTGGGTGTGGGAGGATAGATGTTTGAGAGGCGCCTACTAGACCAGGCCCAAGCCTGGCCAAGAATTAAAGATCCCGAACTTGACAACTAGATATAAACAGCAACTTTCAGGGTGTGTTTCTCACTCCCACCCTTTAAACAAGAAGTTGGATCAAGGATCTCTAAATGTCATGCTCCCAGCCAAAGGCCCCCATGCTTTATGCTTGGGCCACATGGGCCGAGGTTCCATGTCACCTCCTTCAGGTGCCTAGCACATCGCACGCCATCTTTGATTTTGCCACGACTGTCTCCATCTGGCACAACTGCTACTTTGGGGGCATCCAGCGTCCCTGGAAGGGCAAATCTAGCAGCTTTCGGCATGCTTCCAAAGCCCAAGCTAGGTTGGAGGCCATCGCTAGTAGGAGCAAGGACGCTACTGGCCTTACTACTAGGAGCAAGAAGCCACTAGGAACAAAGGGCATCGTCGCTACTAGGAGCAAAGGACACTACGAGGGGCTCCTGGCATCGCTACTAGGAGCAAGGACGCTAGTAGGTTGGAGGCACACACTACTAGGTCCTACTAGTAGGTTGGAGGGAACTCCCACGAGTCCCTCGCCGAGACCCTTCATCACTTGGGCGAGACCCTGATACAAAAAACTCAAACAGAATTGGCATGGAAGTTCGTCGTTTGCCACCTCTGCTTGAAGTGCCACCTCTCTTTTGGGTTGGAACTCCTGGTCTTCTGGCTTCTTATCCGCATTCGCAGGAGTTCCAGCCCATCTGATATACTTGCTCCATTCATTGGAGCTCCACCGGGGACCGTCGGTGACCCGTCGCGGTCGCTCACACCGGCACTTTCCCCAGACGTCGCATCTCTGCCAGCAAGGTCTGAGCCTGACGGTCTGAGGAGAATGGATTGTTAGATCTATATTAAAGGACTTTGTGGAGAACAGTGTAGTTATAGATTATCAATGTGTTCCCATGATTGTTTGTCTCTTGTTCACAAACCTGTGGTCAAAGACCAAAATACAATGTACTGCCACGCCACCTCTCCCCGAAAGCACTTTGAAAAATCGCTGTATACAAATACCAAACCATACCAAACCTCTAGCCTGTAGCATCCAAATGCATCCAGGCATCCAGTCTATTCACCGCAAGTGGGGACTAGTGACCAACTAGCTCCGCTTTTTGGCATAACTGAACTGCCATCTGCCTTGCGGATGCGGCTCATGAGCACCGCAGAAGGGTTGGAGGCCCGGAGCCTCGCGAGTGGGTAGGGGACACTACGGGCAAGGCAAGACCCAGGTGCAAGGAGTCACCCACGTAACCCAATCCCCCTATGATTCCCAATGGCGCCAGCATGAGACAAAATGCCAGCACCGCTTCTTCATTCCTCAGGCAGGCACGGCCCTTCGTTCAGGATCTTGCACTGTAGCCTGGAGACGTCTCCCAATCTTTGGTCCACACAAGCACCACCAGCTGCTCATGATTGAATGGTGTGGCAAATCAGGAGGCACAACTCATCTGATCCCTTCAATGATGCACAAATGTTATGTCATCAAGTTTCATGATCTCTTACCCACCCGAGGACGTGGAATGGAAGCAACATGTTCTTCCATCTGTCCATAGTAATATGGATCCCAACCACTGCCCAGCTCCAGGCTGCCCGGCTCCACAGGTAGAGCCCGGAGCGCATTTTCAGCCTTAGGTGGCAAGAGCATGGGGGTTCAAAGGCTAAGGCTTAACTTCAACCACTTTGTGAGCTCTCTTGGTAGAAAAATAATGCTGAATCCGAGCACCACCGGGCCCTCCCGGCCGAGTAGTCCACGGCGTGTTGCATACAGAACTTCGCGACCGGATCCCCCGCAGCGGCCGCTGCCTGCTTACAGGTCGTTGGGCTCGGTGGCTCCAACAGCGGAAAAGGTCGGAAACAGCGTCGGAAAAGGCTTGAAGGAAACAGTGTGTTTCTTCACGTGCTCGTTCATATTGGCTACGTAGATAGTCAGATAATGTTTGGTTTAGTATTATTTAAGATATCTTTAGATATCTTTTGTATATGAATAAGACATGATTTTCATGGGACGCTTGTCCCCTCTGCTTGGCACCGCAACACACGTCGACCCAAGAAGCTCGAGCATCCCCACCACCGTCTCCGGGCGAGGTCGATGCAGGCCGGCGGCAGCTGCAGCATTGGCAGCCTTAGCATTCGCATAGGGCGAGCAAGACTAGGGTGCATGTATATCATGCATCCTGTAAATCAGCAGTCTCACTTGAAGTAACTGCCCACAACGTGTGTGAGAACTCGCTGAGGAAAAAGGAGACTGCTGCCAATCCACAACCAAACAGGGTTTCAACGCTTGTCCAGTTGTTTTGCGTGTCTCCTTGCTAATCTAAGATAGTCTAAGGATCCAACACCAGCATTATTTTCGACCTCAGCAAACCAGAAGGTTGAGGCAATCAAGCTGGAGGGTCTCAATCCGGAAGTGTGGCCACTTGGTAGACCAACCTCCGCAGCCTTTGCACTGTCTTCCCTGACCAAAGCTTAAAATGCACTAAGTCCTGAAAAATGGAAGCACAGAAGGAGTAGAAGAGGATGTGGTGCAAAAGGAATCGACTTGCTTACACACTCCTTTTCTGCGACTCTCTCGCGCTGTGCTGCTTTTCAGCAGTCAATTATCAAGCATATCTCGACGAACTACTGCTCTGAGAGAGGGTTGGCTCTGGTGGATCCGCATCCAAATCTGAACATCTTGAACTCCGAAAGGGCCAACCCCCTTTATTCGCCCCCCTGACGTAGCGTGATTGTGCTCCCGGCCTCATCGTCTCCGTCTCAGGGCAACTTCCATCGTGTGTTCTCCATGCGGATCTCAAACACAATGGATCTTGCCATCATTCACGGGCAGGAACTGGTGAGTGGCCTGGCTTTGGTCAAATGTCGTCTGTTTCGGGCGGTCAAGATCTTGTTTTCAAGGGAAGGCGATGAACCACAACGCCTGCGTGACAATCAGTCTAGGTTTGCCTCTGGCTGCAATAACTAGCATAAGTTGTATATGAATAATCAGCCTGGCACGCGACTATACAGTCTGGCGCAGGTCTGTTGAAACAGCCCGTTAGGTCAAGGGGCTTGGACATCACTAAATTGTGTCCTACCGTAAAGCAACGGAACCGGAGCACAGGCTTATAAATTATGTGCATGTTGCAGATTGCCCCAATGGGCTGGCCCTCTCTTTGGTAGAACAACCCAACGTGGACCAAAGCATAGCTGCTCTTGCAACCTGTATCCAAAAGCAATTTTCAGCGTAGGCAACCCCGGTTGCAAATAGGAAGATATGGAAATATTGGCAAAGAGAAAAGCTGACACCTTGATCCTCTCTTGCCACGTTCTCTCATCCAACAAACCTCTAGGCGACAACCCGCAAATCCACACCAGCCCAGCAAATCCACCGGCCTTTCTGCGTCAAGAAACCACCGCCCAGCCAGACCGGCCCCAAAACCTGATTTCACGGCCTTGCTGCGGTTGAAGCTCACCACACCGATGAGCACCGCCACCATGAAGAGCCCGAAGCCCAGCGCCACGAAGGTCCGGGAGCCGCCCGGGCTTGAGCGGCTCAGGTGGTCGTAGCCTGACATCCGAAGTGGGGCTCAAGCGGTACTTGGTTGGTCTTTTTTCGTTGGAAAAGTGTTGGAAGGATTGGATGATTGAACGCGTGCATTTTGCTTTGGTGAAGTTCCATGCACTTGGTGTCACTTGGTCTTTTTGCACAGATATGGCAGGGGGAAGTTTTTGCAACGTGAACCATGGCCAAGCGGCTTGCGAAAAGCTCCTCGTCTTCGCTCCATTGGGACATCCATTGAAGCTCTTCTCTCTTCATTGTCGCCAATGGGATCTCTGCCCGGGTATCCTGTCACCAGAAAGATCAAACCACAAGAGCCTGCCTAGAAACGGTATCAGTGATGGTCAAGTGAGAAAAATATGAATCCGCTTCTTGCTCCTATCTAATATTCAATAGTCTATGGCCAATCAGAAGGACACCCCTTCAACAAGAGCCAAGCTGTTTCAGTTTGCATCGCCCTGCCTTCGCGTGGGCTTCCATCTCGTCATCGGAGGCCAGGTATCCATCCCCAAATTGGGTGGGGGACAAGGACTGTGCGGAGCCCGACTTGTGGGGGAAGGCGCAGTCCCTTGGGAAGACATAGTGCAACCTTGGTTCCACTAAGGGAGAGAGTGCTAAAGATTTGAGGGTACACTTGGTAGATCATGCAAGTGTTTTCCTACGTTGTCAGACTGAAACAAGAATAGCTTGAGGACCAAGCAAGTCACCCAAGGGAGTGGTTGAGATTGTTCCCTGGATTGTTTTTCGACTCTGATCGCTATGTTGGAGACGGGCCTGTGAATCCCTGTCCTATGGAACAACGCTCCCGACTTGCTTTCATTCCACTTCCTTTCAACTAGCACCGTCCGGGTTGTTCGTTGTTAGATCCTAGACTGTAGCAGAAATGATGGGAGCCTTGGCTTTTTTTGATGCAGCTCAGCAACCATTGAGCAAAGAGCCGGCCGTGGATCGGGACCTTACCACCATGCTCCTTGGCAATGCCGCGGAGCTGGTCCACCATAAATTGATCCAACTGCACATCGACCTGGCAACATTCCAAAACACCTGTGTGATCCAAGAGATGCAAAGGTAGTCTGAGACAGGTGACATACACACACATCGCAGCCTGTGAGGCTTCTGCTTCTATCTCAGTCTTTTTGTCATTCGCTTCATCATGGGCTCACCAAGTGCAGCTCCTTTACCCGGCTGCGTGTCTTTGACGCTCTAGCCACACTTGCCAGACCCTTGCAGCAAAGCAAAACAGAAAGCACCAATCCAAGGATTTGAATGTGAAGACTTTCTGCAGTGTGGAGCATAGGTACCCACAAATCACAAGTTGCGAGGCCTTGCTCCTCTTCACAAAGGTGTGATCACAAGCGCACGTGAAGAACAAACAAATCACTATAGGCCAATGGACATCTTGTTCGCGGCAACAGCTTGGGTTGCACCAAGCAACGATTGGATGGAGACATATGAAGAGGAATGCGGCTCCCCAAATGCGCCAATTGAGATTTAATGTTTTTAGAGATGCTTCCACACGCCACTCTTGGAACATTCTCAACGGAATCTCACTTGCCATGATTGTGATGACAAAAGTGGCAGTACTGCAAAAGACCTGTTGCCAAACACCTTTCCCGATGCGCTCCATATACCCTTGTGCACAGGCCACCCAGAATGGAAGCCACCACTTGACAGCATGTGTCTCAACCGCTGGCCAGCATACGTGCCCTTGCTCGTTGTAGCTGAACGCAGACCAAAAGAAAGCGATGACCATGAGGCCAAAAGACCAACCGATAGACTGCACCAGCACCTTGCCCTTCCATAAAGACACACACCACACCAAGAAGTGCAGCGCTGAACATAGGAGAAATGCTATCGGCGCCTCACAGAAAATGCACCAGTCGTAAACGTTCACAGATCGTTGGCTGGACATATCCCGTTGACGCCGCTTGCCCTCCTCGGCCATGTGGGGCGAGGCACCGGTCGACCCACTCCAGGCAAGCTCAGCTCCAGCTTCCAAGTCTCCAACGGCTCGGTGGCAGTGCGGACAAGTTCGGAGATCTGGATCTGGTAGAAAAAAGTCCGATCGACTTGAAGTCGAATCAGTGCTGAACCAGGGCCGCTGTCTCAAGGGACATTTGAGCTTCCTGTTCGCTTCGCTCGACTGCACCGTTTCAGAAATATGTATATATACCTCATGCAACGTTTTCCTTTTCTCCACGCATGCTAGAAATCCCCTCATGAAACTACTGCAGCGAAAGGAAACATCATCGTCCCCATCGCTGTCCCCAGCTGGTCGCCCGAGCGCTGAAGCCCAAATGATGGTTAGGTATCTATTCTCAGTGTTTTTTCCCATGGTCTGCTTCTGGCTTCTTTCGCTCAATTCACTGGCGTCTATCTCCCCACAACGGCAGCAGTTCATCAGAAGAAGGACTTCTGCGTTCTTGCTGCACTTCGACTTCATGAGTCTCGTGGTCACATCTTCCAGAGGCACCTCTCCGTCGCTGAAAATCAAGGTGGGCTTGCCTTTTGCAAGCTCACAGTGGCCATTGAAATTGAAAAGAATAAAATGGTCAGAGTCCTGAATGGTCTTCTCAATAAAGTTGGCCAAATTCAAATCAAATTGTCTGACATTCACATTTTCGCATTCAGCACACCGGAATCCAACTCTGGCCAGCTTAGTAGAACATTCCTGCGCATCCGCGACTGCGCATCTCAATTGTTGCTTATTAGTAGGATACGCGTCGATGCCAACTAAGAAGGCACATTTGCCCATCAATGCGACTACATAGATGTGACTCTGAGGGACTTCCTTGAGAAAAACTGCGGCACCTCTCTCCCAGTTCCACCAGAAACGCTAGCACATCGGTAGGAAATTGTTCAATGCACAATGAGATGATCACAGTGTCAATCGGAGCCTGCTTGTGGGACTTAGATTGATTGTTCCACATATTCGGATCTGCTGGATACCCTTTGTAGCTTGGCCACTACCATCCATTCGCAACTGTTCAGTAGCCCTGATGCTCTTTAAGTGTCTGCTTGGATGCGCGTCCCCATGGCTCTGGCAAGGACTGATTGGTCCATGCGTTGATGAAATCTGGACTAGGCCCTGGATGGTCGCCTCTCCTGTAAACAATTGTAAACACCTGGCGACCTTGTCTGAAGTAACGTTGGACTAGCAGGGTTCGTTTGCATTGCCTCCTCTAATTATCAGATTGCACATGTATTAGTACTGTTTGTCCGCGGTCGGTGGATAGAGAGGAGTCTTCAATAGACACAGGTCCAGAGGCAGCAAAATCCCTGGGGATTTGTGGAAGGCACCCTTTGAAACCAGCTCGGGCCTCATCCTCCAGGGTGGTCAGCGCCGTCATGTTCCCCACGAGCGACAGCAGTTCCTCCACGTCGGCCATGGGTTGCACCACCGCCGCCTCGATCTCGGCCATGATGGGCTCGCACTCGTTGATGCAGCAAATGGAGTAGTGCGAAGCAGTGACAATGCCTCAGCTCTTCGGATCTGTCTTTTCACGACAGGCGAATTGTCCGCAAAGCCCATTTAGTCCTGACCCCCTCAAAGTTTGTTCAAACCCGTTCAAAACCTCACTGCGGCTCATGCAGTGAACAAAAGCTAGGGTATATAGTTAATCCTGGTTGAAACCATCAACGATGTTTTACTGTAACGGCCAACTTGACAGTCTATCATGGCGGGCTAGCAGTTAGAATATTCCATAATTAAATACATGCAGTTAGAAAATTCAAAACCGCATTAGGGTGGGTGTGAAAAATTTGTACTTAGCATATTTTGCAGTTAGAATGTCACACGGTAAGCCACTGGATGAACAAGCAGCCTTTTTCCCTCACAATCCCGATGTTTTTGTATCTATCTATCTATCAACAAAAAAAATGGAGCAAGTCTAGTCTTCTCACAGCATCCTGGAGAGTTTCATAGTGATCGTTGAAGTGCTCCATGGCCAATGGCCATCTAGATAAATAGAGTGCTCAAGTTGAGGGCCAAATGTTACGGTTGTCACATCGGCATATTATCAATATTCTATCTGCATCCTGGTATTCTATCTGCAGCTGATTTTCCAAAATCTGACCCACCCCTTTGACATGCACATCTTTGAGTTCCCGATTTAATAAATAATATTCTATGTGTAAGACCGCTACTCTATCTTATCTTGTAACGGAGGAAGGGAGGGTGGGGTTTTTGTGATAATATCACTGAGTTGGTCTCAGGCCTCTGGCTTGCTAAAGTAAGAACAAACTCAGATAGCTAATGCTAGCTTTCGTGACAACACCCTTGCGGCAAGTTGCAGTTTGAAGCTCCCTGGATGTAGTTGGGGATGATCACCTGCTTTCCAAGCCAGCTCGTCTCATCCAACGCCCCAAGCTCTCCTCGGGCCATGAAACTCGATCAGAAAGCAGGGATGAGGTGGATGATGTCAAGCTCTGCATTTTCTGCGCGTCAAGACCCCAACCGTTGAAACACAGAGGCATCTTGATAGATGATCAATTATGATCGAGATGTAGATTGTAAACTCCTGCTGATTGCATCTGGCAAACCCACTAGAAATTGAATTTGACAACTGATGAATTCCACAGACACTCAATGTAGGTTCTACAGTACTACTTCAATATATATATATATAGTTGAACCATATTCTCGAGCATTTGCATGAACATTCAACAAATGCCAAATAAAAACTGCCGCCACACCAACGCTCCCCCACAACGACAGGGCTCGCAGGTACGACTCAGACTCCCCAAAGCGCCACTCGGCGTCAGTGATGGACTTCCCGTAGAACTTGGACAGAGGCACGCGGCCCGTTCCTCGTGGGACGACACATGGCGTGATTATCCATCGACTCATCAAGGCAGCAGTGGAAAAAAAGGGAGTCGTTCTGACTCCCACTAAAACAAGCGGATGCATCGATTGGTCATGTTTGACTGTTTTATCGTGACTTGGATGCTGGCAAGCTGATTCGACAACGGTGGGCACGATGGAAAAGCAACCAACAACAAGCCTCTAAAGTATCTATGGCCGCCTGCCTTGTACGGCTGGAATCGGCAGAAACTGTCTTTTTTGCATGTGGCTGTGGCACCGGTTCAATTGACATGTGTTCATCCAACAAAGTGCAGGAATTGAATCCCAAGCCTGATGCGCACCCAAACCAGGCAACAAAAGGGCTTCAGTTGGTTGGAAGTACCATTGCCACGCTCATTGAGCCTTCATCGCTAGTGGGTTGGAGGCCATCGCTAGTATAGTATCTTGATTTGATATGGATCCTTAGGGCTCCAGTCCTACCCTTCTTATTGAGCCTTCCAGATCCTTCCAGGTCCTTCCAGATCCTTCCAGCCCAGCATCTCTTCCGATCCAAGGTCACCAGCTTCTGCTTCATGGCTCTGCACCTCGGAAATCCCATTCTCGCCCCCCGCCCAGACCAAACATCCACCTCCCCCAGAATCCTCATGTCTGTGCCCCTGAAGCAGCTCAGTGGCTCAGACTCCCAAAAGGATGCGAAGGAGCTGGTAATTCCTCCTGACAAACATGCGTCTTGGACGAAGGATTGGAACAAGGTACTGCTTCCCCCTGCACGACCTTCAACAGCCATGTTCCGGATTGTTGGTGGGTTCTATGCGGCCCATCTTGCCGATCTTGGCGGCAGACCAGAGCAGACCAGAAAGGGATTGGCAAATTCCCAAAATAGCCTACGCCGAAGGAAGTAGCACTGAGAACATGTGTTTGTCCTTTTTGAATTATCCAACCCTACGCGACAACTGCATGTGTAACCTCACTATCATTGAGCTCAATAGAAGTACAAACAAACAGGCAGCTGGCAACTAAAGTTATCCTTCCAACAGTGGTGCGGGTTTGGTGGGATGGTTATTCACAGAAAAGATCGCCTGCGACCAAACCCTGCTGCCACCCATTGCCTACCACTGAATGTGCATCTTCGAAGGAGTAGCCTCGGTCAGCCAAGCAGCACAGCAGCTATGTAAGGCAGCCCTCGATCCACGCATCGTCAACACCATTCCCGGCTAACACATGCGAAGTTCAAGAATTTACATAAGATTTGTCACGCACGATCAAAGCGCCACTTGAAAGACGCTCTGTTTCATAAGCTGATTTTAAGACCACAAGGCATCTGCAAATTTCTTCACAATATGGAATAGGCCGCAACGTGACTTGACCTTGATGGAAGGAAGCATCATTAGTGCCTGTTACCAGGACGTCCAGCCCCAAAGGTCTAGGATTCATCCCTGACATAGATCGTGTATTTGTAGGCTGCATGTGGTGTGGCTCTTCCACTTGCACTGGACACACACGACATGAACATCATGAACACTCTAATGATGGGGCGGTAAACGTCTACAGACATCTCCCAGGCCATCGCTAGTAGGTTGGAGGCCATCGCTATTAAAAACAAAGACTGTTTCCTTTGGCCCAGCAGCGGCGTTGGAAGAAGTTCCCTCCCCAGCGCGGCGCGCTCTGCGGCCGCTTTTGCCGCTCGAAGTCCAGCGCCTTGGAGATCGAAAGGGTTCCATCGCAGTAGCTCAAACCCTTCGAGGGAACCAAAGGTTGGTACCTTTTTGCACAAAAGAATACAACTATATAAATCAAAACCGGTCTTCTTCACAATCGGGAAAATTGAAACACATGCCACTTGGTTGAGAATTCAGGTGACTTGAAGTACCTTGAAGATATCAACAGTGACAATTACTCATTAGTGGAGGTGTTACTAGTCGCTTTTTGTTGCTAGTAGCCATGGCCTCCAACCTACTTGCGATGGCCTTCAGCTAATCGCATCCTTGCTATTAGTAGCGATGGCTTCCGATGGCCTCCACCTAATAGCGTCCTTGCTACTATATAGTAGCAAGAACTCTACCCCAACAGAAAATCCAACATGCCCGCTTGAGCATCGGCACCGAGATCTGGCCCGCTACGAACTTGAGCAGCTGATCCCAGTGAGGGAAAACCTCAGTCGCTCTCGACAAGCCAAGTCTGGCAAATTGCCTGAGGAAGGACACACTCTCGGCTCAATGATTCCCTTCGAAGACAAGTGTGCCGCACTGAGCACCTTTGGGTACCTCCTGTTTCAACGGCTCTCTCTCTCTCTCTCGTTGAGCCAGAGTGACTTGCCGACTCGTCCGCACTCATTCAAAGCACATGAATCTGGGCCCCCTGACCTGTGCCAACTCCTTGTTGTTCCCAAGCCTGAGAATTGCTGAGGCTGGGAAAACCTGAAATGTTGAACGTATCGACACCTTCTTTGGTGGACTCTTCAAAATGAAAGCTCTTCCAACTTTTGTCAATTTTCAGGCGCCCTACAGCTACGGAGAGCCCAATGCAAAGGAAAGGTGCCCTACAGTCGGACCAACACATTTCGGCAACGTGCTTACTTCGACTCAAACTCACATTAACGTATTGCTTTCAATGCTGCGCTCTGCACATCTAGACTTATCTATGAGTCGACAAACAGAACATGCCGGGCTGCTTACAGGCAGGCGCAGTCAAGCCGCTAAGAACACAAAGAACGTCAGGCCTTTTACTTCCTTAATCAAAAAATGATTGCCAAACAGACCATTATTCTGTACTCCTGCTGCTCCGAAATGGTAGATCTTCGGATTGCATGAATCATTGTGTTTCAGCCGCTTTAGCATTGCTTTGTCCCAACCGGACTCAGCCCCTACACACCAACCCAAACAGACTATCAAGCCTGCCTTTCCGGCTTGTCCAGGTGTCCAGGTGCCCCCACACGCTCACGATGTCATCCCCTGCCATCCAAACTGCGATGTAGGCCTGATACACTGGGCTCAAGGCAAACACGCTTGATGTGGCCATAGCCATAGGGCATCATAGAATCATAGGGCCATAGGTGACAAGACTTCGCGTATTTACAAAGCCACCCTGGCCACCCTGGCCGCCTCTAGAAGCTGCTGGAGCCCTGTCGCTGACAAAGGTCTCCTTGGTGCTAAGAAGCAGCTGTTGGGTCCAACGTCTGGGCCCAGTCCACTTGGGAAAGCAAGACCAAATTAAAGCCTCACCGACTCCAGCTCCTTTTCGGTGTGACTGCTACATTCTGAAGAGCTGATCTGGACTGGACATGTTTCTGTACTTCTTCACAAGCCCTCCGACTGCCCTAACACATGTTTTTTTGAGACAAGGCTCGACAAGGGCTTGTTCTGAATCTGATAGA